GGAACCAGGAAACTGGAAAAGAGAACACAGGTGAACAAATTCTTTTCTCCTAGACATATCTAGCTCAACAGTACTATACCATGAGAGGTGATATGCTCCAGCGATGAGTCACACTGGGCTGCAGCCTTTTGTAGATGGAGAGGCTCATCAGGCTGATAGCTACCAGGTGTTGGTAATCAGCGGCCATCAGCAAGGCAGGCTGTAGGCAGTGGGACCCTTACAATAAAATATAAATGATAATATAAAAATAAGAGTGTTCTTTCAATTGATTAATTCAGGATACAATTAAATAGTCTCTTGATGAGATAATTTGTATTTCTGGATTCAAATCAATGAAATAACAGTTCCTGTCCCCTGAAGGTCTTCAGAGACAGATTGATGTCGGAGGTCTAGTTCACTACAGTCCCCCCTTTGGAAATCATCGCCTGTCCATGGGGATGAATTCTAACATGAACTTACACCTCCGAATGTCCTTGATCTTGATGTAATCCAGCAAGAGGAAAACAAAAGTCAAAGAAGGTAATCCCACAATGGTTTAGGTAATTCCATAATGTTGTTGGTAATTCCATTGCAGCAACGCTTTAACCCATTGGAAACAAAGTCTGTAATCCATTGGAAAAAAGTCATATAATCCACAACGGTAAATCCACAACGATTGGAGGTGGTGATTGATCAGCATGTAGAGGGGTTCCCTCGATTGAACTGAAGAGGCGATCACTGGATGGAGTTTGGAGACCCATGTTGGAGTTGTAGGTCCCTTCAGCGAAGGTTGCTGCTTGTGGTTCCCAGTGGATGCCATTCTGGTTCTATGTGTTCATGCATTTATATGGTTTTAGTTGGGTTTATGAGTGGGATTTTACATAAAACCTTAATCTATATGCACCTGGTGTGTAAGCTATCATGGTTTAGATCAGCTACAGATACCAGTTAAAGGGTGGGTCATGCTGAAAAATATATATAGGGATTTATACCTATAAAAGGGCATTCCAAACTATTCTTCCATTCCTAACTTGGTTTAAGTTAGATTTACATGGCAAAATATAGTTTGGTTCAATTGTCTGTTGTCCCTTTAGACGAACGACTTGAGTTTTGGGTTTTTGGTTTCCCCCTAAATGTTTTTGGAGTCTATGGTGAGAATCAACTTAAGGATTAGCCCCCCCCCCCCTCCCCCCAATAGGATTGTTTGAGTAGGTTCGGCTTGAGCACCGTGAGACCAATGTAGGTTATGGTACTTAACCCTCCTGTTATGTTGCGGGTCAAATTGACCCGTTTTAAAGTTTAAATTTTTTTTTAAATAGTAGAAAATATTTTTTCTGCATGAAACTTTTTCTATTTATCTTAATAGTTCCATTCAGCATATGAATTGAAAATGGTTCACTTTACAAATTTGTACCACCCCCTGCGTCTACTTGCTACATCTATACTGTTCGGGTCAATTTGACCTGGCAGTCAAATTGAAGGGTAAAAAGGGTAAAAAAAAATCCAATTCTATTTGTTTCCTTGAAACTATGAGACATATTTCACTACACACACATGCACGCACACACCACACACACACACACACACCACACACATGCACACGTGCATGCACACACACACATGCACGCACACACCACACACATGCACACGTGCATGCACACAAACCCACTTTCTCACTATTCTCTTTACTTCACAAGGAAACTGTGAGAAAGCAGGTGTTTATACAACTTTTGACGGGAACCTTTTCTGTTCCTGTGGGAAAACTCTACCCACACTGAGTGGACACTCAGCAGAAGGGGAGGGGTGGGAGGGCATAAATACTCTCTGCAAGGGAGTCCTAAACACATTACACACTGAAGGTATATGTGATATCGTCACTGTCAGAGGTCAAGAAATGAGCAGCAGGAAAAAAAAGTTTACAGCCCAGGAAGTGCTGTATCTTCTCATTGATCATGAAAGTGAAATAGAAGAGGAGCTGACAGCTTTGAGGTCAATTCTGAGTCTGATGATTCTGATTATGAACCAATTGATGAAAGTGATATTCATGTTTCTCCAAGCAAGACGTTCATGTCAAAAAATGGTGAAATTCAGTGGTCTTCATCTCTAACTAAGCATCTCGGAAAACAGTGTGCAGAAAATATAATAAAGACAGTGCCAGGGCCTACTAGGATGGCAGTAACTCGAGTCACAGATATCAAATCACTCTTTGAGCTACTCATGCCTAATGTAATACAAAAAAATCCTTCTTCAAATGACAAATCTAGAAGGAAGGCGAGTTTTTGGAGAGAACTGGAAGGAGCTGGACCAAATGCATTTACATGCATATTTGGGGATTCTCATTCTGACCGGAGTTTACAAGTCAAAGGATGAATCAACAGCCAGTCTATGGGATGCAGAGACAGGCAGGGCAATATTTCGGGGCACAATGTCTCTGGAGACTTTTCATATTTTCTCCAGAGTAATCCGATTTGACAATCGAGAGACAAGAGCTGTCAGATGGGAAACAGACAAACTAGCAGCTGTTAGGACAGTGTGGGACAAGTGTAAGGGTCCCACTGCCTGCAGCCTGCCTTGCTGATGGCCGCTGATTACCAACACCTGGCGGCCATCAGCCTGATGAGCCTCTCCATCTACAAAAGGCTGCAGCCCAG